AACACTGCTGGTTCGGCTCCATCATCACTGTGTCATCTTCAGTGGGAGCTGATCTTGGTGTCTTCTTTGGGCGTGAACACCAACTTTGGGAGATATTACTTCTCTGGATTAGGTATAATCACTCCCTTCTCTTTTGGTTCAAATCTGGTATGGTTTGGTTCAAGTAAAATCTTTGAATTTGATTCTAAAATTAGGGAATGTGATTCCCAGTTGAAAGGAAGGTAGGAAGTTTTTTAAATTTGCCCACCCATTCTGCAAAAGTTTTGGCGTCCATACGATGGATCCTACCATCTCTTTCAGTGGTATCAAAGCCACATGTTCGAATCTTGAACCAAAAGATCAGATCTGAACCTACGCAATTCGGCAGAAGTTGTTCTATCCGGGTATTATGTAGATTGTTGTTTTATTTCAAGAAACTGTTTCTTGTTGAGGGCGATTGATCTGAAATTAATTTTTGTTAAATCTGAAATTTATTTATAATTGTTCTTTATTTATTTCTTGATTTAATAAACTGTTCGTACATGGAGATCGAAGTGCAGCCTTGGCGCAAATTGTCTGTGCATTCTTTCTTTGTAGTTTCTATTCAATTCGGTCTGTAACATAATTTTTTTTTCATTTTTCTAGATTGAATGTATAGGATTCAATCAAGGATATAATTAATTAATAGAAATAGGAGTTTTGTTTTATTTTATTTTCATGATTGAAGAAGACGGCGACGCTGGAGATTTGCAGATGGAGGGATCACATTCTGCGTTTTACAGTTTATGAAACTGCAACCCTAGTGACTAACCTCTGTTTTGCTGGTGGTGCAAGCAGTCCAAGTCTGATTTATGATTGTCTAAAATTAGAAATATTAATTTCAGATCTTTCCTGAATTAATTCTTGAATTGAAAATCAGTTTCAGACCATCTCGGACCAGATTGGACCAAATCTGTTTGGACCAAATCTAGGGTTCGAAAGGGGACTATTTTCAGTCCAGATTTCTCACACTTTTTGGCCCAAATTTGATGTTCAATTGCAGGGATTAATTCGGCCCAACCTTTAAAGCCTAATTTTAAAGAGTTAAAACTACAAAAGCCCACTTTTGTGAGAAAAGCTATATGGGCCGAACTGCTAACTTTTATTCAGCCCATATACCTAGATGATATTAACTGTTAATATTGTGTTTTTGTTGGGCTGGTTAATAGGCTTTACAGCTAGTGATTGATTGGATCAATTCTTCCATATCATGTGATGTGTGGATGTTTGATGTGCTGCGACCATGGGCCATAAGTACTTGGCCCATGATGATTCGTTAGTGGCTCTTGTGCACACCATGGCTGAATGCACATCATTGCCATGGTGTCCCCTAAGGTCATTGGATGACCCCCTCCTTGCATGGTGGGCCCCATAACCCTGAAAAGAGGCGCGTGCGGAAACCCTAGCCGATTTAGGCCCACTAGAAATCTGACTTTATGATAGTCAGTGGGAGTCACTTTGGTTTGACCTAAATTAAAACTAGGGCGTAATTTTGTTCCCTCCAGTAATATGAGTGCATGTGATAGGGAGATCCATATGATGGACTCTCTAAAGGCCTTTCATCATTAGCATGATGATGGGTCAT